CCCTGGCCCCACCAGCTACCTGCTCCCTGGTGGCCTCCCTCTGGGAGGCTGTGGCTCTACCCCTCCCACCCCCACTGGACTGGCTACAGCATCTGACAAGAGGGAGGGCAGCAGCAGCTCCGAGGGACGCGGGGACACAGACAAGGTGAGCTGGGCTTGAGACAGGTGGGTTGATGGTGACAGTTTTGTAGACAACAGGAATGAATACTGAGATGCAAAGGCCCAAGGAGAATTGCAGAGACTGATGCTAACAGACAGGAACTTAGATAAAACTGAAGTTGGTCAGTCGTAAGGAACTAAACATTACTTGTGTGAATGAATGGGAAATGGGTACTGGGCAGCTGTTTAAAAATGACGTGTGCATATACATAGATAGTTATAAAAACATGCACATATACTCATACCACTATAGTCTACCCCTTGGTTACCTATCCCTGCCTCTCTGTTTCTGCCTTCCCATTTTTTTTGTGTAAGGGAAATGGTGGTTTACAAAAGAAAATTCAAGCATGTTTCCTAGAATGGGGGCCAGGTGAATACCAGCAGGTTCGTATTTGGCTCCATCTGGCTCCTACTCACAGGCTCAGGGCCGGTCTCCCTTTGGTCAGGTCTGGGTGCTTTTTTGTTAGAGTCCAACAGCCTGTTGCCAGGTGGTGTCATTGCCCACACCCTACTTAGCTCCCGTGCAGTGCCAGAGGGAAAGCAGGAGAAAGCCCCGTAAGACCACTTGTGGGAGAAATGGCGGGCACAGCTTTGGTGGTCCCTTGTCCATGGCACATGCTGTGGGGTACAGGACAGGGACAATACAGATCCTGTGACCACAGCAGGTCCTCTGCTCTGCCAGTCAGGCTGCCCATTGTCTGCTGTCTGCCCATTGTCCTCCCTTGGCACATTGGAGACGGGTGTGGGGAGAACCCATTTTTTGTGGCTGTAGCCCTTTAGAAACCTGCTTCCTGTTGGGCCAGGAGGCCTGAGGATTCCCTCCAGGGCAGCCGGTGGCTCCTAGCAGTGCAGCCTGCCAAGCGGCCCCATTGCTCCTCTGACCGTTGGCATGCTTGTTGAAGATGCTGGCCCTGAGGTGTCCTGCCCTTGCCAGGCCTCAGGGTACTGCTCCCATCTTCTGGCCCTGGGGCAGTAGGGAACAGTCGCCTGGTCCAAGAGGGTGACCTCCCTGCAGTTGGTTCTGAGTGACTGTCCACTGTGTCTAGGGAGAGTCCATGACAGACAGCCTGGCTCTGGTCTGGGTTGCTCTGCCGCTGGAGACTTCTTATCTGTCAGCTTTCGCAAAGATCTTACTGGAGACGGGGGTGCAGCTCTTCTAGCCCAGCGGGGTTGGGGTCTCTAGCTGCTCTCTGACCTGGCCCCTCCCTTTTGTCCCCGTGGCTATGACCTTCAGAGCAGCCACAGCCTCCCTTGATTGGCTCCTTCCTGTAGCCTCCATCTATGTCGCCTCCCCACAGGTACTGTTCCCATTTTACAAGTGAGCTGCAGAGGGTTCAGTCCCTCGTCTGAGTGTGGCATGGTGGAACCAGGATTCCAGCAGCTGTGTGCCATCTCCACAGCCGGACTTCAGCCTGCCAGGCGCCCCAGGCTCAGCTCCCACCCCCACTCCCTGCCCCAAGCCAGGGCCCCCGCCAGTGCCCCTCAGAAGTCAGGGCAGTGTCAGAGCCCACACTGGGCCCTGCCGCTCCCGTGACGGGAGGCCTTGCCACACTTGCCTGCTGTGTAGTCCCAGTAAGCCCTGGAGTCGGTTAAACCAGTCATAACTGCTTGGTAATCTGCCTCCACACCAGACTGTGAACTTACAAGGACAGGTGTCCTGGTCATGGTCACCAGGGTCATCTCAGGGCCCAGCCTAGAGCAGATGTTAAGTGACGTCCAGAGACCCACGTCTGGCCTGGGGTCCAGGTGACTGCAGCAAGAGGAGCACAGGGCAGACCCTAAGCAGGACTTCCACCTCCAGCAGTAGCTGGATGGTCAAGGAGGCTGAGCGGACAGGGGCATGAGAGGATGCCAGGGGTTCTGCAGGAACTCATCTGGCCTTTGCGGTCCCTTCCCCTGCCAGTATCTGAAGAAGCTGCACACGCAGGAGCGGGCAGTAGAGGAGGTGAAGCTGGCCATCAAACCGTACTATCAGAAGAAGGACATCACCAAGGAGGAATACAAGGACATCCTGAGGAAGGCTGTCCACAAGGTGGGGCCCAGAGCGGGACAGCTGCTCAGAGGTTGGGGGAGGATGGACGGAGAGACGGACGCATGCAGACAGATGTCCACAGGGAGGACAGAGGGATGGTGGGTTGGCCTGGAAAGCAAGGAGAGTGACAGGATTTCCTCAAGCCCACCTGGGCCTGTTCTGCTGGCATTAGGGGGACAAGTAGGGATATTGGGGAGCAATCCCCATCCCAGCCCCAAGCTGTGCTCTACAGTCCAGGTGGGAGGAACCCTGGGGGCTGCTGGCAATGACTGCAGCTGCCCCTTGCCTCCCAGATCTGCCACAGCAAAAGTGGGGAGATCAACCCGGTGAAGGTGAGCAACCTGGTACGGGCCTACGTCCAGCGCTACCGCTACTTCCGCAAGCACGGCCGCAAGCCAGGGGACCCCCCGGGACCCCCACGGCCGCCCAAGGAGCCGGGGCCCCCTGACAAGGGTGGCCCAGGCCTGCCCTTGCCCCCTCTCTGAGACCCTCTGCTACCCCTTCCCTCCGCCTTCTAGGAATTCTGGACGTATTTATGGCTCCGCCTCCCCACCTCCCTCCTCCTCTCAGTGGGATGATTGGGGGAGGGTTGCTGCGGGGGAAAAGGAGAGCCCCCTACCCTGCCCAGCCCGGTGCCCGTGCCCCTTGCCCCAAAACCTGTCCCCATCGCTGCCTCTCTGTTCGTGCTCCTCCCCCGATTTCATTAAAGATTTCATGAAATGTTACCCCCGAGCCCTGATTTTAGCCCTTTCTTTTCAGAGACCAGTGTGGGAAGGGTTTGCAGCAGAGTGAAGGAGGTTTGGCCCAATTCTGAGGGTAGTTAGCAGAGAGGCCAGACTGTGTGACTTGGAGCACGTACATTCCTCTCCCTGGGCCTCAGTTTCCTTATCTAAAGTGGGTGTTGTGGGGATTAAGTGAAGACCCCCCAGGCAGGTGAAGCACTTGGACCTGGCACGCTATAAGCTGTTGCTGGTGATGGAAGGCAGGGGCCCTGGGCCCCACCTGGTCTACGCCTTCTGAGCTCTGGGCACCTAGGTGCCATTTGCCTGCCTTGGGATTGTCCCAGAAACAGGATCTTTGTCCCCCACCAAGTTGGTTTCTCTTTTCCCCAGTCTTTGAGGCTGGGGTGATCTCATTCCACTCCCCCGAGGAGAGGGAAACAGACATGGGGCAGCAAGGACCACACAGGGAGGCAGGGCTGTGCTGGCCTCCATCACACCCTGTTACGCAGAACCCACGCAGTGAGGAGGTGGTAGGGCCCAGGGGGCTGGAGTGGGTGGGCTCCAGGACCAGGGCCCAGGGAGCCCGTTGACAACTGCCTGTTCCACCCCATGTAGCAGGGAGCCCACGGCCCAGAAAGGAGGACTTGCCTGAGGTCACCCAGCAGGAGTTAAAAGGGGACCCAAGTCCCTTCCATCAACAGGACAATCCATGCGAGAGACTCTGCTTGCTGGACTTTGGCCCAAACCAGGGCTGTTCTTGTCTGTGAGTTCTGCCACAGCAAAAGTGGGGAGATCAAACCAGTGAAGGTGAGCAACCTGGTACGGGCCTATGTCCAGCACTACCGCTACTTCTGCAAGCATGGCTGCAAGCCAGGGGCCGTGCTTTTGCTGTGGCAGAACTCATCTTATAGGCAAGATGAGTTCCAGAATCAGCCCTGGGACCTCCCTGGGAGAGCAGCAGCTTGGAGCCAGACTTGGTTCTGACCCACCTTGTGTTTCCTACTTTGTGATCTTTGTGCCTCTCCAAACCTCAGTGTCTTGGTCTGTAAAATGGGGGTGACTTAAACCTCCTCACCAGGTTCCTAGGAAGAGGTAAGGAGGTGACGAGTTATCAGCTGGCCCTTATGCAGTGAGCATCTGGGCTGTGGGTGGCTTGCACAGATGGGTAAACTGAGGCCCTAAGGAATAATGCCTAGCTTGAGGTAGGGCAGGCCTGGGGACCCCAAACACCAAAGAACACAAGTGGTTACTGGCAAAAATAAAGTTTATTGGTCAAGGTGAGGAGCAAGGGGCCTGCACCCATGAGAAGAGGGGTCAGGCCTCTCCAGGGACCTAGAAATCCATGTCCTCGATCAGGTCCTGGAGGTAGGCCTTATACTGGTCCGAGGTAAGGGAGAGTGGGTAGCTGTTGGAAATGTGCAGGTCCACAGTGTTCTCCAGGGAGGAGGCACCCCCTAACCGTGCCATATCCAGCAGGGCTCTGAGGCACGTGGGAACAACCTACAGAGGTCAGGGAGAAACCTGGGTCAGGGAAAACACCCAATACTGCCCGTTGTTGGGGGTGGGGTGGATGGGTTACAACTCCCAGCAGCCCCCACCGCAACCCAGGATGAACCGTTAGGCTCATGGCTGCTGCGAGTTGTAATTTTCCCCCATTCACAACCACGGGAAGCCAGAGAAAGTTCCTAGGGTTCAGGCTGCCATGAGGTTCTCAGAAGTTCGGACTCCTGGGAGCTGTGGTTCCTCAGAGAGGCTGCTAGGACTTGTCCACCAACTTCCACATGGTTTTGAGAGCTGAAAATAAGCTCTGGGGGTGAGGCCACGGGAGGCACACCAGAAGCTCCTGGTGGTTAGAGACTCTTGGAAGTTACAGTTTCTCAGGAGCTTCTGTAAGTTGTAGTTCCTGGGAGCCACCTTCTCCCTCCAAGATACACCCATCAGGTCCAGGAGCCCAGGCCTCAGCACCTTGACCATCATGAGCCTCTTGATCCACGGCTGCTCCTGGGGCCATGGCTCCCCCACGCAGAACCAGAGGGTGTAGCGTGGCGAACGTCTACTTCCTTCGATGAAGGCAACCAGATCTGGGGGCCCAGAAGCCTCATCAGGAGTGGGAAGCAGCCCTGTGCGTGCCCTCTCCCACCCACTGGAGTAGGATCTTCACCTGCTCCTCTGGCATGTGCACCTCTGCCACCATCACCAGGGGCTAGAGACCTGGGGAATGTCCCCACAGTTCTGGCCCAGACTTAAATGCTCCTCCTCCCTCCCACCGGAGTGGGGCTGCAAGCTCTGTCCTGACCCGAGCCTCAGCATTTGGGAGGAAGAAGCAGGCCTGGGCAGGGAGTCACTCCCCCTGTGACTGTGGAGTACGAGTTGCTCTTTAACCCCAGAAGAAGGCTAGGCTTTCTGATATGTAGCCAGCCATTAGTTGTAGCTATTTAAATTGTAACTCATGAAAACCAAAACTTAAAACTCAGCTCTATTCCCTCACCTAAGTACTGCATAGCCACCTGTGGCTGGTGGCTACCATAATGGACAGGGCAGATGCAGGCCATCTCCACTGCTGCAGAGAGTCCTGTCAGACAGCAAAGTCCTAATGGGTTTCTCTCACGCACGTCTGTCCACCGCAGTAATGGGTAATAATGACTGTGGCAGCTAATTCCCTGAGCACCTTCCGACATGGGGCCCTGTGCCTCCCACCAGCCCCTGGCAGGCAGGGAGAGAGAGGAGACATCCTTCAACTTGACAGACGCAGAGCAGCCTAGTTCGTTGCCCCAGGTTAAACCACAGGCAGAGCAACAGAGTCAATTCAACTCAGTCCCCAACCTCCAGACCCCCGAATTCTTAACCACTGTGGCCCACTCTTCCCACAGCAGAGCTAAGGCCCCGCCTCACTCACCTGACACGAAGGGCTTCAGGTCGAACACGGCTCCTTGCTCGTCCTTGGGGACTTCGCCGTTGGGCCCATGACCGCTGTCCGGGAGTAGCTCCTCGCCCACGGCCCAGTATGTGTGGCAGTGCCCCAGCCTCTGGGCCCAGAGCTGCTGCCCCGCCCTCCCCAGAGCTAGTCCTCCGCCCAGGGAGCTCAGCACACGCCTCACGTAGCCCATCACGGCCCTGTCTGTCAGGGACACCCCAGGGTCTGGCAGTCTTATTGGCTGCCCTGGGAGTGCGCTGTCCCCTGCTTCTGGCCCCACTAGCCGCAGGCCCCTTGGGCAGAAGACAGTCTGCTGGAAGACTTGGCGGCCCCGGTAGAAGGCAGTCACCTCAAACTCCCAGTCTGAACGGCGGCAAGAGCAATGTGAAGGGGGAAGAGATTGAGAGTGTAAGGGTCCCAGCGCCCCAGCCCCTCCCAGCCCACAGCTGGCACTCACCTTCCTCAGGCACCAGCAGCCGTTTCAGTGGGTTTTCAGGGGATTCCAAGTTTGGGCAGGGAACAGGGCTGTCCAAGCCAGGGGTCGGTAAGAACTGGGGGGGGTGTTCAGGGGCTACCGCCAGGCTTGAGAACCCCCCATCTGGGCATGGGACCAAGACCAAGTCACTCAGTAACTCCTCCAGAATGTCTTCCTGTAGAGAAAAAAAAGGACCCAGGCATTTCCACAGCCTTTTCAGGAGACTTCATATAGACTGGGCCTTGTGGCCCAGAACTGTGGGGACCCAGAGAGGAGTCAGAGCTCAGCTTTGCCTCAGGGGGCTTCCAGTCTGCAGGGAGACCACCATGGGCATGGACAGCAAAGTCAGCACTCTGACATATGCTGGGTGCTATGATGGCCCAGAGGGAGCAGCTAATTCTAGCCTTAAGATGAGACCCAGTGCAAGCAAGACGCGGTCAGAGAAGGCTGGGCAGAATTTCAGCAAGGATTTCCTCTGTACAGGAATCAGCAAGATCAAGGGTAGGGAGGTTCTGAGTATCCAAGAGGCAGAGGGTACCCTGCACAGTGAGGAAAGTTACAGAATCCTGGGAAGGTGTTAGGGCTTTGAATGCCTAGGGAAAATCAAATTTTCTCCTAAGGATGCTGGGAAGCCAAGGAAGGACTGTGAGTAGGGGAGGGACAGGTCAGCTTTAGATCAGGTTGGAGACAGACTACAGGGGAGAGAATGGAGGCTAGGGAGGAAGGGACAATGGTCTAGGGGAAAACAAGCAGGCCTGAACAAGATGGGATGGGGCAGACTGAAGCCAGGAAGACTGGGGCAAATTCTTACCTGGGTATCAGAGGCACTGCATCTGCTGTTGGTGTCTGGAGAGGTATCCAACTCAGGAAAGTAGCCAACTCCTGTCAAAAAAGATGGTCAATGGGATAGGGGTGCTAGAAATCACATCACTCCATGCAAAGCCCCACTTCCCACACACCTGTCACAAACTCGTAGATCTTGTGCGGGTCATGGGGGTCCTTGCTCCGGTCCTCTGCTAAACGCAACACTTCCTTCCGGTTCAAGGCAGACCGGAAATTCCTCTTCCAGGTTGGCAGATCCGGCTTATCCTTCCCAGGGGTATAGGCACCACTGGCCTCGGCCCAGGCCTGGGGGACCAGTGGTACCAGGATACTGGGAAAGATGCCTTAGGCCCTGCCCCAGGGGCCTTAACACCCTCCTCCTCTGCCATGTTCTAAAGTGTCATCCCCAATTCTCGGATTCTCTGACCCCCCAAGTCCATCCACCTCCATCTTTCAAAAAACCTTTGTTTTCTAAGCCAGCCTTACAAGTTCTATTCCGGTACTCTAACTCCACCAACCTGCCTCAGGACATCCTCATTTAATAACCCCCAGTCCCTTTGCACTGTAACTCGGATCATCGCCACTGCTGTGTACTAATTTGGTGGTAACTAACCTCAGTTTGGGGGCCGCGTCTCGCCTCTAACGTTCCAAGACCCACCCCCAGAATTCTACAATTTAGAGTCCTGCCCCCAGCGATCCCAGAACTCCCAGGATGTATTTCCTTCACTTTTCCGACTCTATTCCCGAAACCTAGCCATTCCATCCCTGCCTGCTATCCGACACGCATCATAACCCCGGCTCCACCGGTTCTAACTCGACCTACCTCCACCTGCCAGCATTAGAGCAGGCCCGCCCCACGCACGCTAACCCCGCTTCCTTGGTCTGGCTCCCTTGGAGTCCACCCTGCGCGCGCCGGGTTTCAGGCATGCGGGCGCGCAAGCACCTGGAAGATGCCGAAGTCCTCCTGCTGGGCATCCTGCCGCAAGCCGTGCTTCCAAGGGATGCGGAAGCGCCTGCGGCTCCCGTCCAGCCAGGCCACGCCCTCCAGGTGCCCCAGGTCCAGCTGTGACACCAACCAGGGCAGAATTCGCGGCTTTTGGGTTCCCATGGTAGGGCCTGTGCGCAGAGGGCATTCCTGGGTGTGGATAGCTTCCCACACCCAGCCGACCTGGGGGTTACGCACCCAGACCTCCCTCTCATGGAGCCATGGCCAAGTCCTTCACCTATATTTTCGTGGGGTACAAAGCAGGACCTCCTCCTCCCATCGTCTAGAGAGGGTCCCAAATTCAGCGGAATCCCTCTCAAATCCATTTGAAAACCCCCTTCTTTCTCCAGCTTTTTCTGTGCAGACTCTACCCTCCCAACTGCACTCGCATAGATCCTTTGCTCTTTCATTATGAGCCCCTGCCTTCCTACCCCACATCACCCAGTGCAGGTACCGACACTTCCGAAGTAGAGCCTGCCCTCCTTATTTCAATGCAGCTGCTACGCACATTAGACCTCTACCTCTCGCACTTAATCTAGCGTAGACTCCCTTGCACAGTTCCCACACAGAAGATCCCCTCACCTATTTCCACCGTAGATCCTCCAGCCACAATTCCCCCCAAACAGACAGCCTCCCCCAGGGCACACCCCATTTCCTAGAGTGGACAGCCTCCCATTTGCAGAGTCCACCTCTAGAGCTCCCAGTGTAGACGGCTCCCTGCTACTTGTTTAAAGATTTTCTCCAGCGCCGGACATTGCTTCATTGTTTTCCCTCCTGGCTCCACTTTCAGGAGAGGCCCATCCTTTCTCCCGTTCCTCACTCGCGGCCGCCACCAACTCCTCGGTTCTTCCATGATACCTACGTAAAAGGTCGGGGCGCGTAGGGTGCTGGACCCTGCCTTTAGGGTCCGGTAGCTCTCGAACTCGCAGCTGCACACTCTCCTCGTCAGCTCAGTTTTACAGCGGCAGGGTTTTCTTTTCTACCGATTTCTTGAAATAAAGACAACTTTCTTGTCAGTCGGGTGACAAGACTCCAGAGCCAAAGAGGCGGCACCGAAAGTCCGGACGTCCCCCACCCCATGCCCTTTTCAGGCCTTCCTGCCACGGGCATGCTGGGAACGTCACATGCAAATTAAGCGGGCACCGAACGCTCCGCCCTTTCTACGTTTGCAGGATGCCATGCGCAGGGGCGGGGAAGTTGTACTTCTAAATAAAAGTTTATACAAGTTCAGTGGAGGAGGTGGCGGCGGCGGGGCCAGGGCCCAGGTAAGTGGGCGTTAGCAAAGGCTGGGATGAGGAGGGAAGAGACCGGGTTTCAGCAGCGGGAACCCCAGACTCACTTCTCTGATATCCAAGCGTCTCGGGTCCCCAAAGCGTCCAACCTGAGTTGGGCAGTTGGGACTACACCTCCCAGCAGGCTACGCGGTGAGCCAGAGCGGACGGAAGGGAGTGTTTGCCATGAGGCCTCCTGGGATTGGTAGTTCCTGGTCTTTTAGGGACATGGGTAGTTTGGCGTATGTCTTAAGGATCCAGAAGTTGGAGCCCCAGCCCCCTTCTCTCACAGACTCAAGAGTCTAGACCCCAAGCTACCTTCTCCGAAAACTCGAGAGTCCAGGCCCCCTTCTGCCTTAGACCCAGGAATCTGTGTCTCCAGCCTCCTCCTCTCCCAGGATCAATGAGTCTTCGTTCTTATCCCTCTTTTTCCGTCGGGAACTCAAGAGTCTGGGTCCCCAAGCCCCAACTCCTCCAAAAGACTGTAGGAGTCCAGATCTCCAGCCCCTTCCTCACTTGGGGACTCAGGAGCCCTGGCCCCCTCCTCATTTAGTGACTAGGAGTTTGGGCCCCAAGCCTCCACTTCTGCCGAACCCTGGAGTCCGTCCCCCATGACCCTCTCTCACAGGTGCCCGCATGGCAGGGTCGGAAGAGCTTGGGCTCCGAGAGGACACGCTGAGGGTCCTAGCTGCCTTCCTTAGGCGGGGTGAGGCTTCCGGTTCCCCCGTTCCAACCCCACCCAGGTAAAGGGAGTTGTCCTCCTCCCTCAGGGGCCTGCATTTGGGCTGGCGAATCTCTAACTCCTGCTCCTGGCTTGTCTGTCTCCCTTCCCCTCTTATGTGTCTGGCTCTATTCCTTGTCTGTGGGGGTTGTAGGGAGAAACCCTCAGTGGGAGGAAAAGGACTGCTTGCAAGGGGACTTTGGGGTCACTCTCTCAGGTCCCCTTCTCCAGGATCCCTGCCCAGGAGCCAACAGACTTCCTGAGCCGCCTTCGAAGATGTCTTCCCTGCCCTCTGGGGCGAGGTGCAGTTCCCCTTGAGTCCCCTCGGCCTTGCTCCTTGCCCCTCCACCCCTGCTATGGTTCAGAGCCTGGTAAGCGATTTCCCCAGATCACCCATGAACTGGCAAGACCAGAAGCTTTGATTCTTAAAGCATAGACAGGATAAGGAAGTAGTTCAAGATTGCTCAGCTAGAGAGTAACTATGTGGGGACTCCTATCCTCGCCATTCTGTGCTCCTCCCCACCTTCCTCCCCAGTCAGATTGCTATCTGTCGAGTCTGTGAGCTGGCTTCAGAAGGACTTTTGGTCCCTTTCTATTTATTATCTCTTTCCTACATGCTTCCCTTACCCTACAACTTTTGTACCAGTATCCTGGGTAAAAGGCAGGAGACCTGGTCTTCCATCAAAGCTCCCTGGCTGTTTGGTTATATGACTCTGGGGAAAATCCCTTTCTTCCCTACTTTTGTGTTTCTCCAGTAGCAAAGTAGGAATGAGGGGTGGTCATTGGACTTGATCAAGAGTAGACTTGATTAAAAGGTTTCCTTTCATATGTGAACCTAGATAAACAAATAATGGCTACTGGGAGTGTTAGCTTGAAAAGGATTCCACAGCTGAGGAGGAGAGTTGTGTGACCTGTTGATGATGCCTGACATGGGGAGGGATAGACTGATAGTAGCTGGAGTGCATGTGTTCACCTTCCTTGGATGAGATCATCTTCAAGGTTCAGTTAAGCTGCTCTAACATTCTAAGTCCTGTCTGGGAGCACAATAAAATAGAAAGTACAAGGGTTGTTTTGTCTGGTTTGGTTTTTTTGACCAAGTTTGTTCACTGGGCCTCAATTTACCCCATTGTGAAGTGGAAATCATTGCTACCTGGCAAGGTGATTGGGAGGAGAGAGTCCGTAGCTTTCTGATGTCCTGGCGATCCATCATTGACTCTTTTCAGGCCCAGCTACTCCAGACTTCTATGCCCTGGTAGCCCAGCGGCTGGAACAGCTGGTCCAAGAGAAACTGAGATCCCCACCTAGCCCAGGTGAGGTGCAGAGGGGCCCTGGAGAAGGATGAGGGTCGGATTGCCAGGGTGTGCCCCTAGCTGAATTCTCTTGTATCCCCCAGAGTTGCAGAGTCCTCCACCCACGGAGAAGGAAGCCCTGCTGCAGAGGCTGGTGGCCTTGCTGGAGGAGGAGGCAGAAGTCATCAATGAAAAGGTGACAGGCAACCTGTTCCATCCCTTAGCTAGGATATGAATTTCCGGATGGTTGGGGGCATTGGGGTCAAAAGCTGAGTCTGCATTCTCATTGGAGAGGGTGGGACAAAGCTTCAGTGAAAGGCTGAGTGACAAAGGTATGGTCTGGGCAGCACAGTAAGAGTGCCTTTCTTTGATCGTTGTAGAGGGGCCTGGCCTAAAAGCGTGGGGTGTACCCTCAGAAACATGATCTAGGTAACAGATTGGGAACAGTTGAAGTAAGGGAGTGAATGTATGGTGGGGGGATAGGAGGTGGAGAGGGCTGTCTAAAATATGTAGCAGCCCTAGTATCTGTATACGGGCATGACCTAGAATGTGGGGGAAATGGACTCCGGAGGAAGTGTGGCTTGTGACTCTGCCCTGGAGTTTGATTGCTCAGAAGTTTGGGCAGATTGTATGGTCCCGTAATACTCATTGTGTGGTGAAAGGCAAGGTTGTTGCAGACCCTAGCCTGGCCTCAGGGGCTGCCTGAGAAGCCCACCGGGGCCGTGGCCTGAAGGTCTGACATTTTACAACCCCGGTTTCTTAGCCACCTTCCCGGGAGTAGTTTGGCAGAGACGTAGTCTAGTTCATGATTGGTTTGTTGTGTGTCTAGAACGCTCCGGGACCCGGAAGCCACGCCTCCCACCCCCTTATTGGCTGGCGTGACTGAAGCGGACCCTGCCTCTTCCCCTCCCCACCCGACAGCTGGCCTCAGACCCCGCCCTGCGCAGAAAGCTGGCCCGCCTCTCCGCGGGCTCCTTCGCCCGCCTAGTGGAGCTGTTCTCCAGCCGGGAGGGCAGCGCTCACCCCTGTCAAGCGCGCCCCTCGTTGGCGTGTCCCGGGCCTCCACCGCCATCCCCGGAGCCCCTGGCCCGCCTAGCCCTGGCCATGGAGCTGAGCCGGCGCGTGGCCCGGCTCGGGGGCACCTTGGCTGGACTCAGCGTGGAGCATGTGCACAGCTTCACGCCCTGGATCCAGGCCCACGGGGGCTGGGTGAGCCGCCAAAGCCTTTCTGAGGCTCCCTTTACCCAACTGTACTGTGGGTGTTGGGGGGACGTGGCTTCTTTTCAGACTTCACACGTGTTCTCCCAGCCCTACCTCTCACCTGTTCTGAGTCTGAGCACCCGCTGTACACCAAGCACTGCGGTCATCTCGCAGACCCCATGCCTGCCTTAAGCCACTCTGGTATAGACTGTTAGAGTCGGAAACAAGTGAGGCCTGGACCTCAGTTTTCTCATCTGTAAAGGGGAGAGGTACCACCTAATTCAAAGAGTTATTGTGAGGATTAAAATGGGATGGTCCTTGTAGGTACTTGGCATTCCGTGGGCATTTGTGTGATTATCTGGTGACTGTCAGCCTCTCCCACACTGCCTGCCGGAATGCCCTTGCCCGGGTATCTCCCTGCCTCACCTCTGCTTTGTTCAAGTTATCACCCCTAGTAAAACCTTCCTGGTCTCGCTTTAAAATCGCAACCATAGCCACGCCCTCCCACCCACTCCCTTTCCCTCTGCTGCTTTACTCCCGTCCATAACACTGCACCTTTCAACCCACACCTTCTAACAGATGGTAGAACTGATTTGTTTTAGTTAACTATTTCTTTTTATTTCTTGTCTCCCTCGCCCATAACATACCAGCTTCAGAAAACCAGGAAGTCTTAACCTTGCTTGGTCACTGCTTTAAATCTAGTGCGGGGCTGAGAGCTGGACTGGGCTCTAATCTACCGGCTGTGTGACCTTGGCAACTGTCCGCATCTCCCAGAGCACCAGTCTTCCCCCACCCAATGGGCACCACCTCACTTACCCTGCCTTGTCGCTGTGGGGATTCAGTGAGAGGACGCATGCCAGGCTCTCACTATGTAACCACTGCTTCACGGACTGATAGGAGCTGGCAGGTGTGTGCTTGAGCATCAAGGAGACCAGTAAGGCTGGAGCGAGAGGGAGAGAGCGAAAGATGAGAGCAGGAGGGGCGGCCAGATGGTGCAGGGCCTGTGGTCACGGTGAGAATTTGGGCTTTGAGTGTGAGCCAGGAGTCCGCGAGGGCGCTGAGCCCACTTAGGTGTTGACCGGCGCCCCCTGGCGGCTGTGTGGGGGAATACTCGGGGACGAGGGCGGAAGTAAGGAGCCCGGAGCAGGAGATGAAGCTGGAGACCAGAGTGGGGTTCTCTGAGGATTATCGGGGGGGGGGGGGTTCTGGATTTAATTTGGAGGTAGAGCCGATAGACTTCTCTAATGGGGTCGGGGTGGTGACTGAGTGGAAGACGGGGGTCAAGCATAATGCTATGGATGCTGGCCTGAGCGTCTGTAGGGCTACATCTGGTGTTCTCTGAGGTGGGGAGAGCACTGGGGGGAAAGGGGGAACGAGTTTGTGGGAGAGTCAGACAGGACTGCAGGTGGCCCAGTAACGGGAGAGTCACCCTTCAGACCTCAGGGCAAGGCGATGAGGGGACAGTGGATCTAATTGTCTGGAGCTCAGCACAGAAGCTGGTTTACTTGTGAAACTTACTATTTTTACTGGTAAGCTTTGCCAGGTGCTGGGCGAGGACTTCGGTGGAATGATCCCATTTAAACTCCACAACAATCTTGGGGATTTGGTTATTTTCGTTGTCTTATGGGAACTTACAGGGAACTTCCTTCTTGCAGGGGGTTGGCATTGGGAGTTTGACACAAAGCCAGAGCTCTTAATCATTAAAACCCCAGGACTTTGTTCCCCTTCTCCGAGTCTCTGTTTATCCTCTCTGGGTCTCTGTCTGTCCCACTCTGGTGCCCTGCCTTCCACCCTGCGGCTATCTTTCCCTCTGTCTCTAGGACTCTATCCTAGAGTCTGTGCACACTCATCCCCCTGTCCCTGTCTGCCTTCCCATCTCTGGCTCTTTGCCTTCCTGTCTCTGCTCCCACTGGGCTGGTGCAGATGCCACTGTGAGTGGAGGGCCCCTCTCTGCTCACTGCACTCTGCCACTTTTCCCCTCCAGGAGGGCATCCTGGCTGTTTCACCTGTGGACTTGAACCTACCCCTGGACTGAGATCTTCCTCAGAAGCTGCGACAAGATCAGACCTCTTGTCCCCCTTTTCCGAGCCTCCCTCTTCCACTCAGGGCTGTGGGGTGGTGGCTGCCCCTCCCTGTTTTTACCAAAAATAAATTGTTTGATGTTTTTCTTATTAAAAAGTTTTTCAAATAATTGTCCTTTCACTCAAGAGCTCAAGTTCTAAGTACAGGAGATTTGGTTCAGAAATCTCTCTGGCTTGTAAACTGAGGACAGAGCCAACCCATTCATTCTAGAAATATTTAGGTGGAGCACCTGTCACCTAAACATACAGCATGTTTGTGGACATCTGCAAATAGGATTCCAGTTAATTACATTTTTTCCCTATTTGCATGATTTATTTATTCCAGCGAATCCCATACTGTTAGCCCTGGAGTCTTTCTGGCTAGTTCCAGAAGAAAGTTATGTTCTTCCTACATGGGGCATCCAACCACCACCATCTTCTTGTTTTTCTCCCCCCACTTTTCCTTCTCAGCCATTTTTGCTGGTTTCTCCTTATTTACCTGTAGACCGGGGGTTTGTCACTTTTTTAGGGCTATGGCCCCTGTGATGGGTGTGCCTAACTCCTTTCGGGTCCCCAGACCCAATTCCAGTGGGGGGGGGGGGGGGGGGGTTGGGAGGGTCTCATCTTGAGAACTGAGCAATTTTCAAGCATCAGCAGGGTATCCAAGAACTCAATTCTGATGCTATCTGCCCAGAGACAGCACCAGATTCCCCAGGTTAAGGGCTCTGCCCTACAAGACTGCCCCCTGCCCCCCAATGCAGATGCCTGTCACAAGCCCCAGGCTGGTCGGGCTACAGATTGGAGGTTCCAACCATCTCCTTAGGTTCGATGAATTTGCTAGAGCAGCTCACAGAGCTCAGGAAAACACTTACGTTTACCAGTTTAATAAAGGAGACAAGTTAACAGCCAGATGAGGAGATACACAGGGCAAGGGCCCAGATGAAGGAGCTTCTATCCTGGAGCTTGGGGGGTCTGGCTTGGCACACGGTGGCATTCTGCTTGCCCAGGCCTAGGAGGTCTCGCAGACAGAGAAGCAGGAAGCAAGCCAGCACAGAGCGGTTAGGTTCTCACGGGTTCTTGTGAGGGTTTCATTGCATAGTCATGATTAAATTATTGGCCGTTGGCTAATTCAGCCTCCAGCCCCGCCCTTGGGTGGGTCCAAACGTCTCATTAACATGACAAGACACCCAGTTCACCTTTAAGACTCTGCAGTGGATGCCGGGGTTCTTGTTCACAGAGCCGCAGAGTGAACTTGGGGACCAGTCAAGGTAGGAAAGCAAGGCAGAAGCTTTTATTTAGAGAGAAAGCAAACAGCCAGGAGGGGAAAAGAGAGGCCCCCAGAATGGTGCGTCGTCTAGGCAGTTGCGAGACAAAGGGTTAGGGATGTACACCTGGTAAGTGGTCCCAAATACCTTTGAAGAAATACTAAGTTTCTTATTAGTCTTCCCTGTTATTTACAAGAATTCTACTGCTCTCATTTTCCTCCCAGGATAGCAGCTTCCTGGTCTGGGAGCGTATCACCTAAGGCTGCCTGCTTTGCTCCCAAGGTGGGCTGAGTTATTGTCTTACTTTTGAACTAATTGGGTTTTTAGATGGAATCCTTCCTGTTTTTACTATGTTGTTCTGGGCTTGCTTGCTACATTGCCCAAGTTGCAACAAATCATTTGTTTAGGGCTGGAGGAAGAAAAGCAGCAGTTGGGTAAAGTTAGAAAAATAAGCTGGACCCGGCTCAGTAGGCCAAAGCAAATCTCACAGTGGACTATCTGGCTTTGTTTTTTTCCAGAGGCCCTCACCCTTCTCTGCCTAAGCCCACGGTCCCTGTCTCACGTTTCCAGGAACCGTGGATGAAGACCACATATGCCAGGTTATGACTCATTATATCACAGCCCCCTTAACAGAATTATATTTATAAATGCATAAAATGAAATGTAGAGAATTACAAAGGAGGCTACTTACACTCTATCCTCATTATATATTTGTGAATCACCTACTCACCAAAATGTGTTCATAATCCCCAAATCAATACGGTGCTTTCATCGTTGTTGGTGGGCATGGATATGCTCAGAGCAGCAAATGATTTGACTTGTCCAGTGGGCACCTTTTCAGCTAGGGGTGAGCAAGCCCACCCCCTGCCTGTTTCAGCTCTCATACTGTAAACAAGCATCCTTTCCACAATCTATTTAGAGCCACATGGTTTGCATTTCTGTGCATTTTGTGGTGATTTCACCGTTCAGAACAGCCTCAAAAGGAGTGCTGAAGTGCTGTCAAGTGTTCCTAAGTGCCACAGGGCTGTGGTGTGCCTTTGTTAAATAAACTTCAGTCAGGCACAGTTGGCTGTGAGTTCAATGTGACTGAATCAACAATGTACATTAAATGAGCTATCTTTAAATAGAAAACAGCTGCAAAATAAGTTTACATATTGCTGGGTTGACAAGAGTGTTCTATGGCAAGAGGCTTGCAGGAAGCCTGCTTCTCATTAACATATTAATGAAAAACACCTAGGGGGGATCTAATAACCATGATTTCTTAGAGCAGGAATGACATTTTGAGGTCTATTAGTTCCTGCTGTGTAACAAGTCACAAAAATCTAGCAGCTTCCATGTATAATCACAGTTTCTGTGGATCAGGGATGTGGGTGCAGCGTAGCTGGGTGCTCTGCTCGGGGTCTCCCCAGGCTGTGATCAAGTTCTCAGTTTCTGTCTCATCTGAGGCTGGAGGTCCTCTTCCCAGCACACTTGGGGCTTAACAGAATTCATTTCCTTAACAGCTGTGGGACTCATGGCCTGGACCAGCAGGAGAATCCATGTGGCCTCTGAGAACACCTGTGCTCCCTTTTAAGGGGATCCATTGGATTAAGTCAGGCCCACCAGGATGATGATTAATTTAAGGTGTGGGGCCTTAATTACATGTGCAAAATCCCTTTCCCTTTGCCATGTAAGGTGACATCCCCATCTCCTTTGTCATATAACCCAGCCTACTCCTGAGTATATAACATTAGAGGTTGGAGATCATGGAGGCCATCATGATCCTGCCCACCGCACAGTTATCCGCAGCAACTGTCAGGTGACAGGCAAACATCTGTGATTTATATTGGGAACCAGGTCACAGGAACTAATCTCCCTTTGCTGTGTTGTCCAAACTCTCCATGGAAAGAAGGACTGAGTAGTTTTGTGACAGATGTGAGTTTCTACCAGCACAGCTCATGGACATCTGAATTGTCCATTTGACCCAGGTCATGGACACCTATCTGTGTGTCTTCTTCTAACCACACTTCTAATCACACCAGCTCCCCAGTGACCATGTGCATTCCATGATCTGTGCCCTCGAACGGTGCTGGCCAATAGAAATATAATAGGAGCAATATATGTTGTTTAGAATACATCGGTAGTTCCTTAAAGCCAAGTAAAAAGTAATAGGTAAATTCATTTTGACAATAATTTTCATTCACCCCGTTTACCCCAAGTAGAATCATTTCAACATGTAATCAGTATTAAAAAATTAATATCACAGATTCTTTCAGTAAAGGTTTTCAGACCCAGTTGTGTGTTTTATGCTCCCAGCACATCTTGGTTCAGACTTGCCACAGTCCATTGCTCAATCGCCCCACATGGGGAGTGGCTGCCACACTGGAAAATGCAGAATTTGATGCTGACCACTCCCACATTTCTGACTCCAGCTCAGACCTTTCCCCTGAACTCTATACCCTCTATACCCACTATCCCCCTGCATAGTGCCATCCCCCTTTCAATGACATTTGGTTATTCCCTAGAATTGTAGAAATGGTTTGTTACAATTTTTTTGTTTGTAGTAGCAGTACAGAGCAACAGTAACTGATTGGGTCAAAACACTAGGAAATTGGTGGGGGGGAAGGGTAAAAAAATAAACAAAAAAATCTTGCTAACCATTTGGAACAATAGCCAAAAAAAATTTTTTAAAGAAAAGCTTCAGAATTCACACAGCGTACACTGTAGCGGACACTGATATTTGATTAATGGAACTTGATAAAAATTTTAAATCTCTGCTATGTTAAGAAAATGAAAAGACAGAGCACAAACAGGGAGAAAATATTCAAAGTGTATATATCTGACAAACTTGTATCCAGAAGCTATAGAGAACATTTACAATTTGTGAATAAGGAAACAATGCCACTTTTAAAAATGGGCAGTAGACTGAACAGACACCTAATAAAAGAAGATACACAAATGGTCAATCAACACATGTAAAGATGCTTATCAAAATTCATGGTCAGGGCAATGCAGATGACAGGCACAGTGAGCTATCTCTTCATTCCCCCTGAATGGTTTAAATTGACAACTGATCTTATCAAGCACTGGTGAGGATGTGGAGCAACTGGAACTGTACATACACCCCTTATGGGATTACAAAGTGATAGAATACACTGGAAAACTTTTGGGCAGTTTCTTATGAAGTTAAACATACACTTAGCATATGACCCAGCCATGTGCTCCTGGGTTTACCCAAGAGAAATGAGTGTGTATGGCCAAGCAGAGGGGCCCATGCTGCCTCCTCTCACGTGAAGAAGGGCTGGGGCGCTTCTGGCCTAGCTCCCATCTGGCCACAGTGCTGTGGGTGGGGAAGACTGGGATATGAACGTTCACGGCCACTTCATTCATAATACCCCCAATCTGGAAATAACCCAGCAGTGTGGCAGCAGGAACACGGATAGACAAACTGATACATCCATACAATGGAATACTCCTGAGCAATAAAAAGGATTGCACAACTGTTAATATGTAACAACTTGGAAGAATCTCAGAAGCATTATGCTGAATGAGGGAAGATACAAAATAGCAAATACTGTGTAATTCCATTCATAGAAACTTTTAGAAAAGGAAAAGCTACAGTACAGTGACAGAAAACAGAAAGTAATTGCTCCTGGGGTTGGGTGGGAGAGAAATTGACTGGAAAGGGTCGTGAAAGAACTTTCTGAGGTGATGAATATATTCTACAAGTTGTATTAATCTTTACTCAACTACAGATGGTCCCGAACTTACAGTATATATTAGGATAGCCTCTCGTGATGCTGGGCTGCAGCAGCCCGCCTCAGCTCCTCAGCCATACAACCACACAGGCCAACAACCATACACTTACAACCAT